TTGGTTGCCGCCGCTAGGCCAGCCGCTAGGCGGAGCTGTGGCCGCGCCTAACCAGGCTGGTACCGGAGCGGGGCATAATCAGCACGAAACGGTACTATCTCTAAAATGTGCTACCTGAGTTAAACTCTTAGCTCGTAATACCACTGGGAAGAGCCCAAATTCATTTACTGCATCAGCTGACTAATTACAAGGAACATTTTTTCCATATCGGACCACACGGAAGATGCTCCGTGGCAGCAACTCAATCGGTTTTCTGCCAGGTGATGCTCTTACCTGATGAAGAGATGTCACCAATGGAGCTGCTCAGGCTTAAGCAACAAAACCCTTCCATGAACACGCGCAGCAAGAGGGAGCTCTCGGATGCGTGCCAGCCATTTCAACCAAAATGCATCTCTCTCTCTCTTTTTTTTTTGTTTTTGGAGAGGTGCCCAGGCAGGAAAGCAGGGGTGAGGATGGCGTGCTGGAAGTAGTGCCTCTCTGATGCTGTGGCGCATTCTGCCACGCTGCTCGAGCGTACGCGGGGATATTTCTGGCTGCAGTGTCTGGCAACCCCTTCCAGATGCAGGATGCATTATTAAGGCAGTGGAGGATCAGACCCTAAATTGTTTAGGTTGCATAAGCAATATGTACAATACTTAACCTTGTCATCCAACCGCTGTAGGTATCACGACAGGACTTGGCACAAATCAGCATGACTAGGAAGTTACAGACATCTAGAACGGGATTAAAAACTTCTCAGAAGACTTCTAGCAGGGAGCATAGGTTGGTGCTGTGCATGTGTGTGGAAGACTGCACAAAGCCTGTCATCTCCATTAGTTCTCCATCTTTAAACCTGAAGTAGCTGTAACTAGTTACTTAGACTAATAAAATCAAAAGTCATCAACCTTACTACAGATCATTGGCATCAATGTCTTGGGCCACGAAAGAGTTACTACAAAGGTGGGAGAACTGCTGCAGAGAACTGAAGGTGCTAAAACAACTATTGTTGCAACTGCAGATGCTTGAAGGTTGAAGTAGAGCTGACTGGGTAACGGGCTGGATGGGCCCGTGAGTGGCAGAGTAAATGAATCCTGGCCTAAATATCCAGACAAGTCTCCAAAGCGGTTCTGTATTGCATCGCACTATGTGGTTTCCTAAATCCTGCGAGCATGGCTTACTTCCAGAGCAAGGCACCCTCCCACTGCCTCCTCATGGCTGCTTCGGGAGTCTGTGAACGCGTACGGTTCCTGCCACCTCATCTTCCTGTCTGTCTCGAGTGCCAGAGCAACCAGCAAGCGAGCTGTGCTTGGGAGAAGGTCGGGCATCCCTCAGCGACGCTCGCTAACCTCAAGAACGTGAGCTGCAGGAGGCTTAGTGGCAGCTGTGAGCTTTTCCCTCAAGTGGCATTAGTCTATAACCTTTCTTTTGGAGCTGACCATTTCTCAAATGCCTGTGAAGGATTAGTAGTGATGTCTCTGCTACACGAGTGTCCCGCTGCTTTAGAGTTCTGTAGACTGCTGGGTCTAATTCTTCTTTTCCCTGGGCAGCTGTTTTGACAAACATCCAGGCAGCGCCCTACAAAGAAAAGCCAGTACAATGGAAACATCATCTGTGAAGGAGAAAGGAAAGGCAAAGGCTACACGCACCGTGGGCTCGGCCTGGAGCACAGTTTCGATACTGCTGCTGTAGCATTATGAGTACATGATTAAACACTCCCATGAAAATATTACACAAGGTTTTCATTTCACAGCGTTATGACCTCAAATACCTTTTCAAAATAAAATAACTGAAGCGCTCTGCAATTATTAACATTTCCTGTTAGCTGCTCAATTTAACTGCAAAGATGCATTTAAAATTCACTGAATGCACTGTTCAAGAGATTTAAAAAGTCCGAAACCTCCCATCCTCCAGGGAAGGGCCACTTTCATACTCTGGCTTTTCACTTTGTTCCTCAGTGCCAAGGGGCTCTACCCAGCGTCTGGGATGGCCGGGGGCTGCTAAAGGATATGTATACAATTTGCACAGCACTGGTAATAGCAACAGATCCAATTAAGAGTTGTGATTATCTCTGAACAGACTAAAGGAGGGAAGTTTGTTGGGGAAGAGAAACCTAGGAACAAAACCGAAAAGGCTAAGATGGGAATTCCTTCTCGAGCGGAGAGCAGAATTCGTGCTCTTTCATTTTTGTCTTGAGAGGCATCACACCCACTTAGCACAACCGCAACACATCACAGTCTTTTAGGGACCAGCACAGCACTTGCCCAAAAATGCTAGGGGTGGGTGATGAGAAACAGGTAGCGCTTTAAGTAACATTGTATCTTTGCCCAAGAAATAGACACATTTAGTTAATGTTTTGTATCCCTGATTCACCTCAGGACCCAAACACTGACAACCTCCATCATCGCCTTGAAGGCAAGAGACTTCAGCAGATCGTCCAGGACCACGTATTGTGGGGAGGGAATCCCAAGGATTGTTGTGAGACACGACACGGGTAAGCAAGCCACCCAAAAGGCTAACCTCCAACTCGGGCCCTGGCTCTCTTCCTCTAACGCGCGTTGCCCTGCCACTCCGCTGCTGCTGCCTCTCGACCATGAAGCAGCCGGCGAAGTTCTCAGATGTAGAGCAAAATCAGACTGCCACGGTTGAAACTTACAGTAGTCACAGATTCCAAAATACAATTAAATACTGAAGGTTAGATCTAACCGTATTTTCATCTAGATTTAACACAAGCTTTCATCTCTACAGTGCAATGGCACTGCCTGGCATTTATACGTTATACCAAAAAACAATTCTGAAGTGGTCTTCCCCTGGATTAACACCACAAATTAATCTGCAGTGATACAAGGAAGCCTTTAATAGGCTTGACTTCCATCTCGGTAGCTCTAAGGAATGCCCCGTTTTGATTAGCTTTCCAGTCACTAACGAAATTAATTTTATCTTGCATTACTTTCTTTACATGCCTATGAAAAGACCATGCCAAAAAACTAAGGTGAGGGTGAGTCTCAGTGAATGACAGACATTCTTCTATCGCAACAGAGCTGGTTTTTGAGATAGAAGGTGTCAGACCTCATAGCATTTTGCTGTAGTTTACCGTTAGTTGGTTTGAATACAATATGACATAGAAGAAATGTTATTTGAGTAATGCACAGACTGAGTAAACATGTGGCTTCAGGTAATTCAGTAACTATACCTAATCACATGCTTGATTTATTTAAGGGCAGGTGGGTGGGGGGGGAGCTTAAACGAAGCGAGGGGGCCAGTTCTGTGGTAGCAGGCTAATAGTTGGCTCCTCTTCCTCCTTCACATCCATAACGGGCCAATACTTGCAAACCTTTTCCTGTACAACCTTATCACTGCAGATTAAAAAAAGAAAAGAGATGAGAAACATGAGAGCATTGTTCTGAAGAGTCACACCTACGAGTGAAAAGCAGCATCACTCCTGTCACTTGCTATTAAGCGGCAGCACTGCCCTGACCCTGCTGTGCGTCTGAACGAACCTTTGACTATTAGAAATGAGAGGTAAGGAGTCAAATGAAAAGTCTACACAGGATTTGTAAAGAATATTCTGAAATGGAAGATTACAGTTAGTTTCTAAGGAGCAGCAGGGTCACAGGAGACAGGTACATGTGAACAAACTTAATTCTTATAATCACTCAGAATGTATTTGTTGTATTGCTCCTTTTGTTAAGCAAAGAACAAAGACCAGAGGGATCTGTTCCTTTTGTGTAGAATCTTAACGGTATTTACTAGAGCTTTCTACTATGTTTAAAATGTAAGAGTTTCTTTTAAGTTCCGAGTGAGGCTGGTAATTACTGTTCTTCTGTTTTGCTGCTATTCCTGAACTTCACCACCATCACTGTTATATTATCAGGACATCCTCTGTAAAAGGACTGTAGAACTATACTCTTTGCACCGAAGTGTGGTTCATCCAAGCGTTCCTTGATGAATCGGACGGCTTCCTCGTTGCTGAAAGCATCCCACAGGCCATCCGACGCCAAGATCATGAACTCTGGCTGCAGTTTGTCCAGGTCAAAGGTAAGAATATCGGGGTCGGGAATGACAACGTTCAGGTTCTTCAGAGGGTAATCTCCTAATGAGCGGGACATGGCCAGGATCCCCTGGACGCGCCAGGAGCCATTAAAGCTGATAAAACCACCTGGAGAGAAACACCAACACTTAAAGCAGTTCTTTTCAAAGTTAAAGCATGTCTCTGGCTTCCTAGCAGACCCACCCAAAAATTCATCCTGCAGTATCCTGAGGTATACACATGCTGCACATCTCAAAAAGCAGGACATGCCTTAAGTAAGTCTCAGGGCGCAGCAGGGAAGGGCTGGATTGTGGCTGCTGGTGCTGTTGAAAGAGCTGAAGCAGAGACGTCGGGAACGGCTCCGCTTTCCGACGAAGCAGCTTCACGCTCTCGACTCCCCCAGCGAGACCGACAACTTGCTGAACCCAGGTGTTCCTGCACTACACAACTTACTGCTCAGAAAGCCTTACAGCAATGTCAAGACAAAAATACTGAAAGCAAATTTTTATATTCTTGTGTTAGTAAACCCCTCCTTTTCCCATGTAGTTCACGTTTTCCCCATTTCAGAAGACCTATGAAGAAAACAGCACTGAGAACACCCTGCAGTAGGACTCACTTCTCACTTTTAAGACATAAAGCAAAGAAGCAAGTGCAAAAACGTTTATAGGCTCTTCTGTCAAACTGCCTTGAATGAGCTGTGTCAAAAAGGACCAAAAAACTGTTGTCAACAAACTGATCATGAAATTTTACTTCAAGTCAGAAAAATGCAATGTGGGATCTGACTGATTTTACCATCACCAGGACTAAGGCTACTTCTAGTTGAAAATACGTATTTTATTCAGGGGCTGCTTGTAGTGAGACCTGTTTTGCGCTGATATCGGTGACTCTGACACAGGCAGCACCTGGCCATTACACAGTCTGATTGTGCCAGGGAGGGAACTATACAGTGTTCAAGGTCGAAAAGTAAAATTCAGGCACCTTCAAGTCCCGTGCGTGCATCTGCGTGCCACTGTCTGCGCTGTTTCACAGCGATATTCCTGTCATCTTAACGTCAATGAAAAGTCACTTGAGGAGAAATGATTTGCAAACATGCAACATGGAAGTGTACCACAAAATTAAGTGAACTGTTGTCTTTTATATCTGCAGGCTGTCTGCTTTGGTGTTCTTACAAATGTCTTTGTTCTTTGTAGTTATCAGAATGTTTTCAGCTCTGCACTTCAGCCTATGCCATTATTTGTCAGTCACCCAGTCACCTAAATCTTACGATAGCATTTCCATTCCTGGTTGGCTGATCTAATCTGTAAAATCCTTCTGCTTTCAGGTGAAACTACATTTCATTTAATGATTCATTGTTGTTTAAAGTTTGAAACTTGATTTGTGTTAAAACCAGCAGAAACAAAACTTTTTAGCTGGGTGTTTTTATGTTTTCTATGGAGTCTCCATTATGAAGACGTTTCCTTCCATAGTCAAAAAAAGGAAGGACGGGTGAGCCTACTGCGACTCCTCTTTAGACGTGCAGTCAAACAGACCTCGTCCAGCCGCTGCCGTAGGTTTTGAGGTTGAGTGTTACACAGCCACCTACTCACCAGCACAGGGGTTTTTTTTCTTAAGTGATTAGGACTACAGCAACTGGAGTGTAATCATGTGTACCTACTGGAATGACTGGGGAAGCAAAATGCAATGAAGAGGAGGCAGTTTTAAGTAGGCATTTTACGATTAGAGGACAGCAATGCCTGCACCCGTTACTGTACTGGCCGAGGAGAGAGCCGATGCTGCCGACTCGCTGCAGCATGCTTACTCCAGCCTGCGCAGGTTGTGCTTACGCATACAGAGCGACTTTTCGGTGCCATTCTCACCTGGCACCTGGAACTGCCTACGGCACAAGTTGAATTCCTGTGGTTTGCTGAAGTGTCTGTTGGCACTTCTAATATTTTCTTTTATAAAGCCATCCATACGGAATACATAAAAACGCTCGTGGAGAGGCAAACATTCTGCAGCGCTGGCTGTCACCGGAGAAGAAAAGACATTAAAGAAATACAAGCTTTTTGGCAACCGCACAAACATTTTGCATGTTAGCGAGAGCTGAGCTCAGAGGATTATGTTCAAGGTGAAGGACTTAAATTTCTATCAGTGACAGTCACCTTGTGGCTCTGCAACTGAGTGCTTCTTCACAAGCCAAAACCACAGTTGTTTCAAGGCTACTGTCTAACACTGATACTATATACATCGCTCAAGCTCCTGATCAGAAGGAAATTCCTTGTGTTTTCTGGGGAAACGAGCATCCTTGTGTCACAGGATATGCATTCCCCTATCCCACAGGAACAACTCAGAGCGGTGGGACCCCAGTCTCATTCAGCTGCAAGACGAGTGGCACTGCAGCACTTGTGAGCGTGCATCAGCCAGCCTCTTGTGAAAACAACAGCTAGTCTTGACAAAAGTCCTGTGACCAGCGCTGTTAACTGCATGGCCACGCTGCGGAGCGGGTAATTCCACAGGATGTGGCACCTCAGCTCAAAATCGAGGGCCCTACCCTGTTCTCTTAGCTGCTGTCTTTCCTTTTGGCATTTGGCTGCCAGCGTGGGTACCCATGACCTCTCTACTCCCACGAGAAACCTGAGCGTTGGCTTCTGGGGCTTCAGTGTGAGAGCAGCTTGAGTCATGTCGGACTGCTAAATGGAAATTTTTTTTCAGGCTGTGGGTTGACTAAGACTTTGTACGCAGTTGCTGGGAGCGCGGAAAAGAGAGGGACTGAATTCATTCCCCATCCACCGATCGCTGACAGCAGCAAGCAGTGAGCCCCCTTAACATCCACCATGGCAGCAAAAAATGACAGATTAGTTTAGACTTGTCATCCCAATGTTAACGCCACGCTGAAATGCACAGGGCAAGTCATGCTTTTCTTTGGGATGCTGTTTCAGGCTGCCTCACATTGATTTATATCAGACTGAGGTTTGAAGGATATTTTCTCAACCGTGGCTATACGGATTTCACTTTTAAATGAAATCTAATCCTACTAACACAAATGTGCAGTCATTTTATAACTACCTATAGGGCACTGGACAGTGCAGCTTGATGGTGTAATGTGAAGTTGGAAAACCGAAATGTAACATAATGATGTGGTTATTGGTTGCTTTCTTCAGCTCTACATGACAAGAAAGTATCTAGGTGGTGGAAAAAAGTCAGGTACTTTTGTCACGGTAGCAACGTAGGCTTGATAATTCAGTTTGGGCACCTTGCTTCAATTTTACACTTACTGTATGTAAAAAAGGGACATTCCAAAATGTAAAAGTATCCGGCAGTAGTATAAACTGGATTGTATGTTTTTAACAGCACTATGAGACCGTGTCAATCACGATAATGCAATGGGCAATAAATAACAGAGAAGTGAATTCATTAAGTCACTAGACTAGATGGAAAATTTCTTGTTTAGCTGCAGATAGTTGAAACATTTACCTGTCTATTAAAATAATTTCTTCCAAGGCTGGAAATTCCTGCAAAAGCCCAGGGTAATTTTTCACAGTGCCGTGTTATAAAGCAAAGGTCTTCTACGCAAAAGAAATACCCAAATTATTTTTCTTCTCCTAAGTGAAGGCCTTCTCTAAGTGATCAATTGCACAGCACAGAGGCCCTAGACGTGGCTAAGAGGGAAGCAGTTTTACAGAGAAATCTCCAGATTTTATTGACACGTCCCCCCAGTACGGAGTTGAAGCGAAGTGAGACCAAGGTTTTCCTATTCCTTCTTCTTAGGATCTGTATACTTTTTCTTTCCCTTTGGGGAACATATGTGACCTCGGCTCTCTGCCTAGCAGCACCAAGGATCCCCACTGCTCTTACGCCCCCTCGGCAATAAAAGCAAACTGAGAGGAAAGCGCACACTGTGCATGTAGGGGCATTTATGCTGGTGTGAGCATACTGATAACCTGTAGGTTTTTAAAGTGTTTTATACTCAGGGAAAAACTTGTTATTTCCACTTTACAGATGAAGACATGGAGGCAGAGAAGCAATGCATCTCTGGAGGCAATGCTCATCGGTAGGTTTAACACAAACAAGAGGAACTTTTTTCTTTCATTGAATAATTTGCTGCTGCAGGCTGTTCTGGGAGCCAAACCAGAAATGGGTTCAAAAGAGACTTTGACAAATTCACGGAGAATTGGCTATTAAACTTGATGATCCAAATGTAACTTCTAGCCCAGGAGGTCGCTAAACTGACAACTGATGAAAGAGAGAAAGATTTATTGCGGAAAGATTGCTGTTTCTTATATTCTCTCCCTATAATCTGCTACAATTTACATGTTTGTGCTCATTAGCAGTCAATATACGGGAACAAAAAATAGCTTTCATGAATTAGATTCATGCTCTGCTTATTTTAGGAACTAAACCTCACTCAGCTTCAGACCCAGCCTCTCACATAAAGGCTGCTGATACGGTTTGCTGTGAAGAAGCCTGTAATGCTGCTGCTCCTGTGTATTAATTTGTTCCCTGCAGAGATCACAAGGGAACTGGCCGGCATGGTCAACTGGCTCTTGAAGATGAAGGCTCCTTACTCAAGACACTGGCTTATTAAGGGGTAGGTCAACCTGCTTCCACTTCTCTGTCTGCACCATGAAATCCCACTGAAAAGTGCTGTATTAATAATGGAAGATTTTATCTGCTGATGCCTCAGTCTGGTACTTTTCAGTCTCTCTCAGGGGAGAAGTCTATATTATCGACAGAGTAGAGAAGGAAAAAGATGAACCTTCAGTCCAAAGCAAAACCGTTATGACTTACCAGCTCTTTTAATCCTCTTCCTCTCTTTCAGTTGGTAGGGCTTGTGATCGTGTGACAAGGGGATAGCATTCCCATCCTTGTCACACAAGACTCCTCGCGAATCACCAACGTTGGCCACTGTCAGTTCCTTATCTGACAACAGTGCGATCAAACAGGTTGTACCTGGAAAAAACAGAAGGGATTGGGAAGCAAAATAAACACATGGGGGAAGGGATATATATAAAAAAATTATTAGCAGGAAAATGTTCTTCCTATTAATAATGGCAGAGGGGTGCTGAAGTGGGAGACATGTATTCCAGTCTCTGTCTGAGAGCCAGCTTTTCCTAATGGCCAAGGAAAGTAATAAGAGAAAAGTACTAATTAGCCCCAGAGCCCACTTGTAGCTTCTGTGAACTGAAACTACTGCACTGGACTGCGCATGGGTAAAACAGAGCTCTCTCCCCTCATCCCCTCTCCCCTCATCCCCCTTGATGACCAAGAACTGAGGTCAGTTCTTTTATCTTTTTATTGAAAAGAGGAAAAGATTTGACATTTTTAATTACTTTAACCTTTAAATACACAGAAAATGTAATTAGTCATTGACCACCATATCCAACAGGCATAGTATTTGTTGGCTAAGGTGTCAGGAAAATATTGGAAAAATTGGCTGTTTTTCAAATGAGAACACTATAGATTTATTTTCCTCATTTAAGTGGAATGAATGTTGAGCAGAGCAGAGCCCGTTAAGACCATGCCTTTTCTGTATTTTCCCCTTCTAGCTAGTGAGAGCTGTATTCCTGACAACTCCAGCTATTACAAATATTCCTTGCACAGGCATTGGACAAGATGCCACAATTCCATTCACATTTTAGAACAGAAAGATGTCAAGTAAGTTTTTAGATATACACTAACAAACATTCAAAGAGAATGTGCCTGGCACTCAGCTTAGATGGCACTGCTAAAATTTTTACAAAAGGCATTCTAGTATCCTTCAACAGTAAATAAAATTAACATAATGGCTGCTTTCTCTTCCTTTTAGGTAGACCAGAGAGGCACATGGCTGAGTTTTCACCTCTGTTGTTAATTTACATCTGATAATTCATGAGAAAAAAAAAGGTGCATCCACAGCGGGGTGCTCTGGAAGAAGCACTTGGGGCCAGCATTGGGGCCGAAGGGCCCCAGCAGTGAAACTCAACCAAGAGCAGTGTTACAAAGCAATGCATCCCTGCTTGTACATTTTAATCAGACAAAGACACGGTTTTAATGAAAATGCTGGCAACGCGGCATTCCAGCACTGCCTGCCATCAGTGGGATCCTGACCCCTGGTTTTGCTCCAGGGGAGCTGTATTAGGGTTTCAGTCTGTGCTCTGTGGTCTTCAAGCTAAATTCTCATAGCTGCTGCTTGTTGCTTCACTGTCCAAACCCAGAATTAAAAACTATGTTTTGCTGTTCCCATGTCAGTAGTTGAATATCCCATGACTGGTATAAATAAAATAGCCAGTAATAAACAAGTTGTGTTTAGATGCACTGTGTTCTGAAGATTTATTTTTAACTTAATGGTCTGTCTTGCACAGATCTAAACTAGAGCTATTCTTTCACAAGACAGGCATGTATATACATATATATTATTTTTTTGCAATTGACTGACACATTGCAGACCTAAATGGATATAGTTTCCCATTCATTGCTAAGACCTTAACTGCACACCTTAATGGCTCACCTAACAACAGGGCGTGCAGAGGAACCCATCCACCACGATCACCGGAGGAACCCAGCAAAAATGAGCTGCCTGCTCAAGAAATATCTCCTCTGAAGGTGGAACGAGATTGCACCGAAGGGTGTGAAAAAGGCTGTGTCCAAAGGGGCACCTGCTGGCTGAATGCCCACCCTGTTTGGATGCAGGTGTCCGGCCTCCATACCCTGGTGAACAGACCCGCTCTAACGCCAGAGGACTTGGTACTTAAAATGCCAGTATCCAACACACAAAGACAACAAAATAATAATAGGGGTACAAACTTTTGTAATGGGGTGCAGCTGGTCATTTAAGCAGAACAAAATGGGATTTAGCATTTGAGGTCACCTCATTCTCTGTCCAAACAAAAGCTAGTAACTCTGCAAATGCATAAAGCTCTGCTTCGATAAGAAAATTACAGCAATAAACAGTACCCTCCCTTGCTTTTGTTTATGAAACTTTCCTTAGCAAACATTCAAGCAGCATCATGCTGACAATCTGCAAGATACTGGAGGGCTGGTGCCTTCTGAGGCTGGTTTGACATTTCATCTAAACTTCAGAGAGAAAAAGAACAGCCGCTTTTGCAATATGGATTGAAAACAGAACCCGTGAGGTGCAGAACAGGGGCAAAAGTGAAAGCCCTGTTGAATGGGAATACAGAGCCAAAACCAGCTCCAGAAGGATCCCGGCGTGCTGCAGGAGAGAGACACACACCCCACTCATGAGGCTGCAAGGCTCTGTGATCCACCACCCAACTGACGCTTCTTTCTGAAGACCAGAGCTCCTGCTTTACCTCTAGCTGCCCTCTTGGCCTGACATTTGCATTTGTAAATTCATCGACTGGCCTTTGTGCAAGACCACCCTACTGCTCCGCAGATTGCTTTCCCCCTCCTGTGACGCCAGCCCAGCGTGTATTTTCCTACAGGCAGTAGTAAAAACCATGTTTCCTAGTAAGGAAAATGCTGCAAATAACATCCTAGAGCCCTGGAGTTTGGAAAGTAAAATGCTTCACAAATATAGTCATTATTACCACAATTTATATAAAAACGGTAACTGTGAACACAGCCGTCTTGGTTATATGATCTGCGTGAATGAAAGAGAACGAGCATCTGAAACAGAAGATAATTTCCAAAGCGATTTAGGAAGGATCAGTTGTTTCATGATCCCTGACTGATGGCTGGGCTATCTTTAAGTCCCTGACCTCACGCTACTGCCTGCCATTACATGAGAAAGCAAACTTATTTCACTTTGTTTTCTTTTCCATCTATTTTTATTTTAGTCATTTAACCTTGTGTAGAGTTAGAAAACATCGTGCTCTTGTCAGCCACCTCAGATTTAATGCAATTGCACAACGGAAAGTTCCCAGCATAAAGGGTCCAAAATTGAGAACACATGTTATATTAGTCCCTCGATGCAGCTGCCTGAATAATACCCTGCTGAGCAGTTTACAAAGAAAATCACCAGAAAATTTAAAACCTGTACTATACTGGCTGCAGAGATAGGGTTGTGGGTTTTTTTTTTAAGTCAGGTAAGATTATTGGTGTTGTATTTTAGTATCAGACAAGGCACCTTGTAAAAGTCAAGGCTGCACTGGCTCTACCAGTTTTTAGAAAACTGCTTTATCAAAAGGAGAAAAAGTCACCAAAGTGCAAACAAGACCTGATTAATACATGAAACGGCATTAGAGAGCTCAGGCATGATCCAGCTCACCCTGCAGCTGCTGGAGATCTCATGCTTCGCATGTGGCGTCAAAAAATCCTGCTGATGCCTGGCTCCAAATCCCTGCTGGCAGGGCAGCTCGGGATGAGGACCAGAGCTTTTGGGCTCCAGATGGCCCAAGTTGTTTGAAATTCCCAGTTTCATCCTAAACCATCAGCAAACGTGCAGTTAATCTCACCAGGTGCTCACCATGCCGCCTCTTTTCTCCCTCTTTGCTGAGTTTTCCTTCTGTTTTCCAAGTCTCTCATGCCCCACAGGTTTCAGACCATCAGCACATGTAACCTCTTCCCTTCCTCTTTCCCCTCATTGCTCTCTTCGACCCTGAACTTTTTGCCCATCGCTCCTCCTTCAAGAGAAATCACACCTCCACCCTGCCCTTATCTCAGGCTTTCAAGTGGCGTGAGTGCCCAGCCAAGGCCCTCCCTCCTGAACAACTGTCCTTCCCACACGTGCCTTCTCACTGCTTCTCCCGGTCCTCCCCCACCTTTTCTGTGACTCTTCGAACAGCATCTCTTTCTCAGACAAAACTGAGAAACGAGACTTCCCCCTCCTACGTTTTAACCATTGCTTCCCCTTTTGCACAACACGTGCCGAGGTTGCTCGTGTGCTGCCTCCCATTGACCTGTCTTCCTACTCCAGTGACTAGATTTTAAGTATTTTTATTCGTTATCACCTTGTCCCTATGCTTCTCTGACTTTTATTTTGCAGCGCATCTTTGCAATGCTGCTCTCTAAAAAAACACCATTACCCTTGATGATTTTTATGGCTATCACTGCCTTCCTGTCTCACCCATGAGCTCACTGAAGATGCCATTTTTGCAGTCACTGCCAGAGGTTTCCTTCCCTCCAGCTCCACACTACGCCTCCTCCAACACAGCTTCTGTCCCAGGCTCACCATCGAAATGGCTTCTGCCCAGACCGTAACAGCGTTTTCCAGCCACGGCGCAGACAGCGAGCTTTCCTCATCCCTCTGACCTGCTTCCAGCACAGCCAGCTCAGCACGTCTTCGCTGACGAGACACTCTTCTCTAATCACAAGCATTTCTGAAGACCCCTTCATTCCTCTCCTCTCCTCTCCCTCTCCCCTCCCCTCCTCTCCTCTCTCTATTCCAGTCTCTGACCAGCCCCCGGTCCCCTCTGTAGGCTTGCTTCTGCATAGCCCCATCTGCAAACACCAGTGCTCCCATACAGACCCTGCACCCACTTCTCCATCCCAGAGGGGTCTCTTCTCTCAACTAAAGGCTCAGCCTGTTTTCTTCACAGTTATTTATCCCAACACTTTCACTGCCCACCTCCCGCAGCCCGGTTTGGATGGGGTGGCCAGTGCCATAGGCTCTTTCCCATGAGTTTCCCAGGCGTCATTTCCCGCGACGCTGCCCTCAAGCCTCAAGTTGGTGAGGTGGCGTGAAAAGCACTACCAGGCACCTCGTGGTACCACCACAGCAGAAGGAGCTGATCGCTTTGCTGCCTCGTCTCAGCTTTCTAACATGTCCAATGTGGAGTTTCACTCAGCTTCACTCCGTGGGGAAAAAGAAGAAAACTGGCAGAAGGATGATCTCAAAACTGGAGACCATCATCTTTATCTTTGGATAGACGGTCCTCTTAGCATTTAGCCTACAAGCATTAAACCCCAGAGGGCTAAAACCTACATTAATTCCTGCACAGGTAGGGCTTGTGACAGCTTGTCTGTATTAAACTCAAGTCTGTGCAATAGGAAATTAGTCTAATCTCATC